TGTCAGGAAGGAGCTAAAGCCACGCCCCCCCCCAGCCATACTTTCTAGGGCAGTTGCAGTTTATCAGTAGGTAGAAAGGTATAACTGTACCATCTTATTCCAATTGCTTTACCAGCTTCTTGCAGAGTATTACTTTGTAGTCACAATAAAGCTCTTTACTTTTAAAATGTATGCCTCAACTTCCAGCACTAACTCGTCAGGAAATCATTTGTAAAGTCAGTAAACATTGGCCTGAGATGTACTTTATTTCAGGAAGAGATCCCTGTAATGCTCAAGTTGCTGCAGAGCATTGTAGAAGCAGCAGCAGCAGTGTTCAAAACTGCTCCCATCTCAGCTTTGGTCTCTGGTGTTGCTACTTAACCTCTCAGTGGGCATGTCTACACGTACATTAATGCACAGTGGTTACTGCACTTTTAGTTTAGTACCTATAACAACAGGTACACACAGTAACTGGTGCTACTGTGGAGTAGTGCCAGTGCATGCATTTTAGGTGATGCTAATGCGTAGTAGACTAATTCTCCTGGGCATTAGCATGGTTTTTGCCTGCCATGCTAATGCACAGTAGAATTGGTCTACTGCACATGTGGTGTCTTATGTAGACACACCCACTGATGGGGCATTTCTTTTCAATATTCTCAAAGGTTTGACAGTAGTCATGAATTACTGGATGAGCTAGTTCATCAGACCTATAAACTAGCTACTCAACAAAAGTCTAAAGAATGGTAATTGTTCCAACAAAGATTTTCATTGGCAATATGAGAGAGAAAAAAAAAAACATGCTGAGGTTTAGGGTTTGCTGTGGTAGAGATTCTCGTGCCATTTATACATCTTTCTTCCAATTATGAGGGTGTTTCAGAAAGAAATAATTTAAAAATAAAACCACTGTGTTTGCAATGATCACTTAGCAAACCACTTTGCTTCCTTGCCTAGTTGTAAACAATGGCTGTTCCCCACTGCAGCATAGTTTCCCCCATTCTTGTACATACAAGTTTTATTTCAAAATTGCTGGTTTCTTTCTGAAACACCCTCATACTTTCCTCTTGATCAGATAACAGTATCATCTCCTCCCAGTCCAAAGACTTGGTCAGGCTTTTTGGTGCAGGACCTGTGTTTTAAAAAAAGAGCTCTAAAAAGCTAGGAACATTTGTTACAAAAGAAAAAAAAACAGTGATGTTGTTTTGAGAGGCTGATCTGATCTCATTAAGTTTGAGCATAAAGATTAGATTACTATTTCAGTTATTGTACAGCATCTATCATTTAAAATGCAATGCATTTCACTTTTTACACGGCATTCTCCAACTGTGTAAGTGACATCTATAAAAGCATCTCCTTCCCTTCCTTTCAATTACAACCCTGCAATATCTAACAAGCAACTGCTTAAATAGAAAAAGTGATTGACACTACTTTCCTGATGCAAGCTGTTAACCATCAAATTGAAAGATGGTTTTTGTTTACTGCCCCCACACCTTTTGTACACATAGCTTGCAAGCTTCGTTACATAAAGATCCCTGTAGCCCTGTAAAAGCTTCTGCACTCTAGCAAATGTGTTGCTCCATTAGTTAATTAGCAGGGATTGAGTCTTCCATTAACCAATAGCCTCATCAGGTGTGGTAGGGCCAAGTTTTCTACAGCATAATATTAAGTCTGACAGGTATTACACAAACTATTTCTATGGGCTCTTCATAGAAGCAGCTTGTGCAAGACTTAGCTTTCTTCTCCAAAGAACTAGAGAAACACACCACCCCATGAGGTAGGTACTGACTCCATATTCCCCCAGGGAAAGTGAGGAAAGGATCTAAGAATAGAGAGAGACCTCAGCCACTGCCTACTGCGTGGGAACACTGATGGAAATCAGTGGTAGATCTTTACCACAGCTGCCATAATTCTGGAACTCTTCAGTGCAACTTAAGTGTTGTGCATCTCCCCACTCCAGTTTTAGTGCCAGCAAGAGTTTCAGGAGAACAAATCAGAAGTGAAAGGAGTATAAGTAGCAGATGAAACGTCATTCATATTCCAGGTTATACAAAACAGACATGTTAAGCATCTTCCCTGAAGTCACAGCAAATCTGCAGAAGGGCTACATCAGAACCTTCTCCATCCAATCCTTTGACCCATGCTTTTGCCACTTAAACCATGACTCCTCATGCATACAAGACACTAGTCATAAACTGAACTTTTGGAACCTGCAACTCTACCATATTTTTCCAAGAGTACAATTCACTCAAACTCACTTTGCCAGTGACAGCATATGAAGAAGGCAAGTGAACTTACGCATTTTAGAGTACTGGACAATGTGTGCAGTTGTAGCAACTTCAAAATGGGAGGGAGATCTGCTGTTGAGGAACATACAGCAGCAGTTATGCTGTAACCGTTACATGGACGTGAGCCTGCAGCCATACAAATACAGCAGAAGTGCTCCAATTCTGAATGCTTCATTCAGGATCAAAGGGAGCAATTTTGCTCAATTGCACCATTACAGGCTCAGGCCAACATGATAGTTATGGCCTAACAGCTGCTGCACACTCCCAAGCAGTAGTTCAACTCTCCCTTTCTGAAGCCATTGCAGATGTTTGTGTGCATGTATCATTAGAGTGGTGGGGGGGTGCAAAAAAGGGAAGCTATACTGAATTACTCAACTGGTAATAAATGCCTACTGTGTCCCTTTTAGTTTGTTAAAGCAGGTAATGCTTTGAGGTTAAGTGGCAAAGTACAGACTGTAACCTGGCTTACTATGGTATATAACCACATGTTGTATACAGCCTTGTAGTAATTCTTGTGCATTACAGCAAGCTACTTGCTAAAAGACTGACATATAGCATCTCTACCTTTTCCCATTCCTGTTGTGGACTTCCTAGTTATTGCTAAATTTAGAACTGTAGTATATTACAGTGGAAAAAAAGAAGTTAGAATTGTGCTATTTCATTCATCATGCCTGGTCAAGTGACAAGATAATTAGCAAAAAGCTATAAGTAAATAAGAATGCATCCATAAAATTACTAGGGAAGTATATTCCAGATATTCAGTCATGAGATGGAAGCAGTATCTTAGGAAGAAATCAACTAAACCATCTGCCACTACAAGCAGAGGTAGCATATTTTAAAAGCAGTGACTATCCTTATCTTAATACAAGCTCCCTCATACCAGCTTAGCAATTTGGGAATGCTCTCTCTTCTCCCTCTCCTTCCAGCACTACTAAATTATTTTAAGATACCTAATACAAAGGAACAAAACAATTGGTAAGTCATAGTAGATATTTACAATGACTTACCAAGCTAAGCAAAAAAGAATTGCTCTACAACTTAATTCTAGAAAATTAACTGACAGCTGTTCTTAGTTTTGATCACTATTGGGGGAAATCCTGTATGAAGCAGATTTAAATCTCTGGTACCATGAGTTGCAAGATGTTAACATCTGCAGAACAATGTTAAAGTTACATGGTAACGAGGACAGGTGAAGAAAGAACGGAGTGTATATTTCATGATATTACAATAGAAAACCCATAGCAGTAACTGGGCTCTGGCCTTTTGTTGTTGTTGAGGATGGCCATCTCGGCAAACCCTGAACAATCTTCATTACTCTTACCTTTCTACATTTTAGATGGTAAGTCTCTATTCCAACATCAGTGATAATGGGCACTGATGCAAAGTCTTAAGTGACCTCTTTATGAGCCAAGGTACCAAGGATAAGCCAAAGATTGGCAAATAAGAGGGTCCTCCCCCTCAGATGTTCAGTAGAACAGCCACTGCTGCAGTCAAGGCCATGCTTCAAGGCATTTAAATATTTTTGATCTACTACCAGTGTGAACACAGTCTGTAAAGAATCATTTGCCATCTTAAACTGCTTCCCTCATCTGATGGGAAGAACGGTTTGGATTTTAGTAGATAAGCTCATTCTGGATATAGCATTCAAGTGTTAAACACAATTATTTATTAAACGCTCTTGTTAAATCCTGCTTTGTGGAAAACACTCTTTACTGGCTAGCTACGCTGGCAAATGTTAATCCAAGCACTGTTAAAAAAATGGAAACAAACATTTCTAAAAGTTACTTTTCACACCAAGACAAAAGTAAAACACACAAAACAAAACAAACAAAAACCCCACAACAACTTTGCATTTTTTTTAGGGAAGCTTATAATACAACAGTGCCAGACCAGGTAGCTTTAGACCTCAGACCCTGCTTCAAACCCAGGATGGTGAAGTGATTTGCAGGTATTGTTCAACTGTCATTGGCTCATGGCTCAGGTGCTCAGTCCCTGTAGAACAAGTGCAGATGGAGAAAAGCACTTTCAGTTGCAAGGAAAAAGGAAAAATGGATGTTTCAAATCACTGCCCTTCTCTAACTGAAGAAGCTTCAAGCCAAGAACAAAGGGCCAGATTTTTAGACACCTAAGCATGCAAACACCTTCAAGGAGTTGCACTGCCATTAGGTGTATGTGTCTGGGGAAAAAAAAGGAAAGAAAGGAGAGAGAGAAAAAAAAAATCAGGCTTTTGATGTCTAAAGTGGCAGGGAAAGGACTCTGTATTCTTGTCAACCATGCTTTTTTAAAAGCATAGATGGGTCCTTCGGCTCCCAGTTACAATCCTCAAGAGCAAGGTAGTTACGTGCCAAAACTTACTCCCCTTTATGCTTCAAATATGCACTTAATTTTATAGTGATCACTGAAGTTTTCCATGAAACCAGTCCCTTTTTGGGTACATGAATAGCTTTTATATTAGAAGGTTGAACTAGAACATTTACTGGTAAAAAATATACTTTGTTACTAACCCGAAGGGGAGAAACAAGACCATGCATGGCTCTCAACCAAATTTAAGGGCCAAGAAAGGCATATTTCCAACAGTTATTATTTCAGTAGGACTGTTAAGATATTAGAATAGGGATTTTTCCCCCTTAAGAAAAGCACGTAGTGTCACTAAGATCACATCTTTGCAAAATAAACTTAACTTCAACATAGAAATCATTTGTATACCTACAATCAAATGATAATTGGAATTCAACTTAAGATGTTTTACAAAAGGTCTTTACTGTACAGAAAGTCATGAATCCCTACCCAATATATAATGCTTTAAAGACAAATCTCTTGTTTTCCAAATTACAGTGGACACAATGCATTTTGCTATCCATGATTTTTCTACTTAGAGAGTGAAAAAGTTAACCCCCACCCCCCCAATCCGAAAAGACAAAACAAACAAAAAAGAATGGGTACCCTAAACATTTTCTGTTGAGAAAACATTCCAAAACTGCCTCTATTGTTAGGAGCATCAGAACTGTTGACAAGTCAATAACCAACTATTTAAACAATGAAATATTTCTGTTGTAAAAAACAAAACAAAGCAAAAAAAGCCACCCCAAGTCTTTTAAATTACATACCAAATCATCACACAGATTCCATGCTTCACAAATTTTTCTGCTGTAAAAGGCCCCCTAACAGCTATGCAAATGCATTTATCTTATTGGCTCTCAGTGTGCTATTAAACAGTAGCAAAAAAGTACTGCTAAGAGCAGTTATACCTGCTTGTGCCTTTAGAATACTAGCTACACACATATCTAGATAATCAGCGTATACCACTGAAGTAGGAGCACATACACACACAAAATCTTAGGTAGCTGTGTGTAGCAAAGAATGAAGTTAATAGCTTAGGATGCTAAATGCTAAAATGCATAAAGACTTCCTTATACAATCAGAACAGTTTAAGCAACTACATATTTGGGTTTCTGGTACATCAGAAACTTCAAAGGTGCATGCAGATGATGCTACGTAGGACTCTAAAGGCACATTTCAGGTTGCACAATGATTCTGTTGAGACAAACTGCTTACACGCACAGTCACACAGATTGTAATGGTTAAAACCCCTTCAGAAATTCTGTTATAAAAAAGAGAAGTGCATTTTCAAGTTAGCCCGAGTAAGCAAGATTGCTCAGTCCAAATGTTCAATATTTTCCTCATGTTGATATGAATTCTCTGCACTGCTCCAATCCAAAAAAAAAGAAAAAAAAAGAAAAAAGAAAAGAAAAAAAGGGCAGGATTAGTAAAGGCCGAATTGTGGTACTAATTAACATTTACTCATCAGATCCCACCGATCTCTTCTGTGCCCTTTTACGAGGCAGTCGTCTTGGTGAGGCTTTATCTGGAAGAGAAGGGACAAAGAAAGGAGTTAGTTACCTCAATTGCCAGAAGCACTACATCAAATTAAAAACAATTCCTCCACCCAAGCCTTCCCTGTTTCCTGCCTACAATGGAAACTGCTAATTATTTCCAGTATAAGACACTGCCATGCAAGAGGTATATGTGATACAATTCTTCTTCTATCTAACCCAATCATTCTGAACATGCTATTGGTATAGAACTTAAATATACTGTAGCTTCAGAGCATATAATCCTCCATATTTAATACTTACTTAAATTTACATGACTGAAGATACTCAATTTGTAAAATGCTAACACATTTATCCATTTTTTTTTTTTTTTTTTTAAAGAGCCATGCTAAACTACTATGCTTTAGCAAGCCAGTGATCACTACTGATACTTGAGAGTTCGCTTGCCTCTGAAAGTATTTGTATTTTCCTTCCATTTGTATGGCATCAACAATCACTATACATTGTTGTTTTATAACGAAATGAGATGAACACTTTGCAGCTTCATAGTTGTAATAGAAATCTTATTTAATGCTTCAATGTAGACATTAGAATTTGTGTGGGTACAAGATACTAGTCGTAATTCTAGTTAAGTACTGCCTGGCTCTAGTTTGTATCACAAATTTACAATCTTATTTGATCTTCAATCCTGGCAGTTTACAAGACAAAAAAAAGCTTAATTATGACAGGTCTACAGTTGTCCCTTATACCTAGAGATACCTTCGTGCAACTAAAATTAAAAAAGGAATTTTCAAAGCCTTGTTCAAAAGGAGAGAAGATGAACATTATTCTGTACGTAGGAAAAGCAATTAGGTTATCTGATGCCAAGTATAGGTTTAACTACTTTTACAACTGCTTATTTAAGAAACTTTAAGGATTCCTAGACAAGCTCTGAACTATTACAGACTTCATAGGTAGGGCTAAAAGGGCATAAGTCTTTTAAGGTTATGCTTCTCCCCCAGATAGTATACAGAATGCTAAAAATACAAACTAGTATAAATCTAAACACTAATCTTGTCTAAATTTGAATATAAGGGGAATTGGAACTCATGACAGAAGTGGTATATTTTATTAGACCAAAGACATTTTTGCAAAAATAAATTCTTTAATTGCAAGCTTTCGGGCACAAGCAGCCTTCTTCAGGTATATGAGAACTTTAACAATCTTTTCTCCTAGGTAGAATTGAAAGTATCTAAGGGGGGCATTGTAAGCTTTTCTGATGTCTACTCCTTGATCAGTTCCTCAATGGGTTCAGATCAAGTGTAGTGCCAGTTTAATCTAACAGCCTCCACTGCAAATCAAAACCCTTTTATATATTTCCAGCAGACATTCCCCCTACAAACTTCATACTTTCTAGACTTTTACACTATCTCCTCTGGAAAATATTTAAGATGCAGCGTTGTAAAATTTGTAAAGTAACAAACTGATATTAAGCAATTTTCTTCAAATGTGTATTGACAGAGGAAATACTGCTTGTTTTAAAGATGGGAAGGGGAAAAAGAAAACCCACAGGCAAAGCAAGGTTGTAAGTATGGGCAAACTATACAACTGAAAAGAAAAAACTGATCTTCAGATCACCCATGACTAACGGAACTAATCCAGTTTTTCTTCCCTAATGAACTGTTTTTAGTTAGAAAACACCAGTTCATTGAAACGAAAACATTACAATGCTTTTAAACAGATTTATTGGGAGTGTTTCTAGGGTCCATTTCTGCTCAAGATGAAAGGGAGTCTGATTTCAAGCTCAGCAGGATTCCCCTGGGACATGTGAAGCCTAGATTGAGTGCTGTAATGGAGATAACAGGAACATTTCCCGTTTTCATTCCAGTTCAGGAAAACTGGAAACAAAGAACCCACAAAGCTTATGTTTTCCACAAAACGAGTGGTTCTGGCCCTCAGCAGTGACTGAGGCACCTAACTATGCCCTTCATGCACCTCGTGTTAGTTTTCTAATGGCCATTTTTCACTTCATATGCCACTTATCCATGGCCAGGATCACTTAAACTCACACAGCAAATTTCATTCAGGTCACTGTTCCTTAACTAACCTACCTCTTTCCTGCATTTTTCTCCCAGAGGCCTCTCATTTATCCCTAGTCTAGTTCTGAAAAGAAGAAGATTCAGCCACCATAACTATGCTAAAATTTAAGCTGCAGTGGGTGAACTTAAATGCAACCTGTTGCCTTCTGCACATATTTGAAACCATAAAACTGGTCTTTCCCAACAGTGCTCATGCTATTACACCATGAACCACATGCAGCAAGAATCAGAATTTCACTAGAGCCCAGTTAGTGCAGATGCATAGGAAAGACCCACGTTCCTACAAGCAAAGTTGAATTGCCTCACCTCTTCTACTTTGCACTGAGGCCACAGGAAAGCAAAAACAGAAAAACAGTAGGAGAGAAGTTAGAAATATCCACAGGCATTCAACCATTCTTAAAAGACAGATACTTAAATTTGGGGATAGCATTTTGATCTCAGTGATTTTGACAGGTACAAGATTATATTTTTCATGCTCATTTACCAGTAGTTCATTATAGAGACAGGTTCCTTCTACGTCGTTAAAAAAAAACCCCAACACACACTCAGTTGGGCCTCTTCGATTTTACTTGGACCTCTCCAGAACCCTGTGATCCAACCTTTGGTTCAAGGATTAGCATTTCATAATAAGTCTACAAAAGGAAGGGCAGGTACAAGAAGATTGATGGCCTTCTACCAAAGGTCCATTCTACCATGTAAAATTGGTTTTGTAGCTACTTTTTGGCTAACTAATGAAATTAAATCTGACAGAACATGAATGGCTGAGGAAGGAGGAAAGGTTGTGATGGCTGCTATTGCTAGCTCTGAGACTTTTCCCCTACAAAATCAGATGAAAAAAGATGCTTAAAATAACCATACATTACAATAATCTGCCAGTCATTAGATTGTATGTTAAGCATTTAGATTCAATTGCTCCCCAAAGCAGATAGATACAAAGCTAAGAACTTGGTACAAAGTAGTTCTTGCTCTCTTTTTTCCTTTAAAAAAACCCTCTTTGATAAAAGAAAAATTATACCCAGATCATAGAAGGCTTATTACTTACTGATCTGATTTAAAGTTTCTTGAGGGATCCAGCTCATGTCAACATCATTTTGATTTGATGTTCCCATCTCTACTTTCTGTACTGGTCTCTTCCGCTGAAAGGATTTGAGAACATTAACAGATTTTGTTTTCCATGAGGAAAATGCAGATATTACAATTGTAAGAATATTAAATATAGATACTGTAATCAGATTTAGTCAAAGCCTTGTATCATTAAATAAACATAAAACAAATATTTAACCTTGTGATACCTGTATCAAGCCTGCTTAGCTTCAAGGTTAAATGAGTAATTTAACAACGGTGTAAAATTTGCTCTCTAAGTTTATAAACAGTAAACTTTTTAGTTTGATTATTGTAATCTAAAATACCTACAGCTACATGGAATGATTATACATCCTATACAACTTTATTCAGAATTCGCATTCCATCATTAGTATCTACAGTACACTTAGAAACAAATCACTTATTTTGGAAGTGAGGATTTTCCTCAGTAACTTGAAGAGTACAACAGAATGTTAACACCCAATGCTAGTTAGAGAATCTTTCTAAACAAAAGACATTGCAAAACTAAATCCAAGTTTAAATATTTAAGCTCAGTGGATATCATACATTAAATTCCCTTGTGGGGTACTGCTTTCCAAGTTCATCCTGCTCCCAAACACTGCTTCCTGTGCAGCCGCAGCCCCATCCTATCCACCTGACTGCACACGCTGCCTGCATGGGTCCTATCCCCGGCAGTTGGCGTGAAGCTGATGGGTTGGGGTGCCCAGGCAGCAGGGCTGGGTTCAGTGGACCCTGAGGTTGGGCAGCTGGAAGGAGCCACCACCTTTGGGGCTGCCAGGAAGCGAGTCAAGTTGTTGCGCCATCCCAGCACTGCTGCGTGCCAAGGAACAGTGGGACTGGTCACACATGCCATGGTCTGCCCCTGCCCGGGGTGGGACCGAGATACCCGTGGCAGGTCAGACAAAATCCCTTAGTGGGCTGGATTTGGCCCACGGGCCGTATTTTGCCTGCCCCTTATTTAAAAGCAATCCATCAGCATGATATCTAATTTTTTCACAAGTTTCTTGGGACATCTTAAAAAAAAAAAAAAAAAAAAAAAGACTTTGAGAATTCTAGTCAGTTAAATCACTGCTTCCCTCCAAACAATCTAGCCTTGATTAAATTCACATAACTTCTATTTGTGCCATTAAAAGCCACAAAAGTTGTACTGCTCTGATTGTTGATACATTACCCTTCATCAGTTGAACAACACTATGCATTAAGTACTTATATAGAATTGATTACTTACCTTCCTAGATTCTAACAGTTGATGCAGACCAATAACGACAAGGAGGCCAAGACCAGCAAGGAACATGTACATGAAGATCCTTGTTTAGCAAAAGATAGAATGAGATAAATTAAAAGCACATTACTAGCTGGAATTGTAGTCTTTCAGCTTTTCTAGAAGAAAAGTCAAAAGTCACAGCACAAGGTACAGTTGGTTCTAGAAGTCCCTCAATTTACAGTACACTTGTAAAGACCATTTATTTGTTAAATCTCTCACTGGAGGTACAATGAAGCTGGATTTTAAAATGTTATTGTATGCAGAGTATATGAAAGAACTAAGATAAGAGGCAAACAGTTACAGTAACTTTAAATTTTACTTGGAACTACAGGACAATTTTTATATAGCAGGTGTTTCCATCTGGCATCTTTATTTAGTTACCAAACTAGACTTAGTTCCTCTAAATCCAAAGAATGTACAATTTCAAAAGGAACTCTTAAAGAGTCATGTACAGCATAGGTAGGCAGTTGTGTTGAGAGATATTATGCACTGAAATGGTTTATGCGCTTAACTCAATATGCAAGGAACTGCATACTACAATGCCAGTCCAGATCCATTCCCTATTGCTGATATTGCAAGTCTAGTGAAGCAAATTATATCACTGAAAATATTTACAAATAGGGGTTTGTGCAGTAATTAGTTTTTCACATACCAAACCATACTACTTAAAAAATGGTTGAATCAACTCTGTTATATAAGTGTTTAAGTTCTGAACACTTTCAAGAAATGCGAGCTAAATAATGAAAGGCTAGATAACACAGAAGGGGAAGGGCTTATAAGCGTAAGGACCTTAGTGGTTAGTGTCCCACATCTGTGTAAGTGCTGAGTTCAAATCCATCCTCAGGTAGAGGATTGATTTGAATTTTTAATCACAAACCTCACACACACACAGACAACCCCCCCTAAAAAAAACCTTACCCCCACCACATTCAAGAAAATTGCATGGAGGGAGGCGTAAATACTTTCTTTTCCTGGTAGGGTTACTATCACAGGGGATACTCAATATTTATCAAGCTAGATAAAGTGACTATAGCTTGGTAGTCAGGACACTTAAATTGAACTTAGTCCAAACCAACTTCCCTGCTCAGGTGCAAGATTCTGAATGAAGGTCCTCCACCTCTCAAAAACAGACTCACTTGGTATTTACATAATTCATACAACATAGAACAGGACCACCAGGAGAAAGAACACAACCTACTACAGCAGTGGAAGCCAAACCTTTTGGCAGGTGTGCCACAAAGTAGCTCCACACCCTCCTCAAGTGTCACTCCAATTCCTTTCCCTTATCTAATCAGTTGCTTTGCTTCCTGCATGATCTGCTGCTTTGCTGTTTCCTGCCTTGTGTTTCCTGCTCAGTCCACCGCTCTGTTTTCTGCTCCCTGCTCTATTTGCCACTGTGCTGCCTGTCCCCTTCTTGATCTGCCACAACACACACAGAGGCTGCCCATGTCCCTTGTGACACGCATTGCCACCCCAGTACAGGTTGGCAACCCCTGCACTACAGAATATCCTTCAGCTTTGTTAAGGCATTCTACAGCGAAGCTGCTGATGTGAGTTCTAACAACCTGAGGCAGGAGGAGGATTTACGTTCAAGTGTCCAACATGGTGAATGCCCTAACTTCTGGGCAACTGACACCAAGGGACACCAGTTTTCTGGTTCTAGCCTTCGTTTCCTTTGCTAAGAATTTCTGAACCATTTATCACTTAACATTTCACCTGAAACTATTTGGTAAATTCAATCAAAATTGGCACTCAGCATTGGCTGCCCCAAAATTGAGTTCTGACAAATAATTTAGAGAGAGAAAAAAAATCATGTAGTAAGTTAGGGCTCTTATTCTCAGAAGTAGATCATACCAACGCCTTGAAACTTCAAGTTTTAGCTGAGAAAGCAGCTAATCTAGAGACCATGAATCACAATCAATATAGAGGGCTTGAGAAATTGAATCGTTGTCTTAAAAAATATTCTAACATATAGTCAAGTAATACCCACCCACATTCCAAAGCATAACATTTTCAAAGGGACTCATGATTGAGATGCTTACAGTTGTGCGACAAGTTGTTAGCTACATCATTAAAAGAAAAAAACAGGACGATGAATATGAAAAATGCCAGATAGAAGCTTTCTATCCACAGCAGCGGAGCAAATTTCTGCACAAGAGCTATCAGCAACTTCTAGAGAACATAGTCCGCTTGCAACAGTTCATCAACCTCCCTGTATTCCCCAGCAACTGGAATGAGCACATCAACCAGGAGCTAAGCTTTTTAAGTGGTAGCATGCAAATGTTGAGCTAATACTAAGGACTGGAGTCTGTAGCATATAGTGTGTACGGTGCCCTTCAATACCCCGAGTCATCTCTCTCTTACTCCCAGAGAATTATACTGGAGCAGAGACTCAGATTAAGGCTTCTCATGTCATTAAGTTGCCATATGCCTGGAATGCTCTGGATTTAGATCATTTTGGGTGGGGAAAAAACCCGAAACAAACCAGAAATCTTAGCTGAACCCATATTTGTATTGCCACAATTAGAAGCTCAAATATTAATATGAAAGGTGGGGGATGGGGGCGGGGCACCATTATTGGGAAATGCATAACTTCCTTATTTTATAATATATATAGACACATATCATCATTTCCTTGATGTTCAGATGGTATTTCCTATCCTATACAGAACTTTCATTTAATGAACTAATAACCTTAATATCATAGGAAAGTAGGGCTGGAAGGGACCTTCCAAGGTCATCTAGTCCCCGCGATAAGGATCATTCCAACTAAACCATCCCAGCTAAGTCTGTCCAATCTGCTCTTGAAAGGTTCCAAGAATGGAGATTCCACAACTTCTCTAGGTAGGTTGTTCCAATTGCTTGACCACCATCATAGACAGAAAGCTCCACCTAATCGCTAACTTAAATTTCTCATGCTGCAGCTCGAGGCCATTGCTCCTAGTTCTGTTCCTTACAATGCCAGGGGAAAGCCCATCTCTACCCTCTCTAATACTGCCCTTCAGGTATTTGAAAAATGTTATCAAATCCCCCCTCAGTCTTCTCTTCTGCAGGCTAAATAACCCTAGTTCTTTCAGCCTTCCCTTGTAAGTTCTGCTTCTCAGGCCCCTGCTCATTTTGTTGCTCTCACAGTGCAAGAATCACTTCCCTGGATTTGCACATGATACTCCCATTAATACCACCCAGGATGCTGTTGGCTTTTCTTTTCTCCCTTCCAACAAGAGCATAATATTGGCTTTATTCAGCTTATGGTCCACCATAACCTCAAGGACCTTCTCCACAGTACAGCTTAGCTAGTCATTCCCTAGTCTGTATTTGTGCGTACGGTTATTCCGTCCCAAAAACGCAAGAGCGTTTTTCACTGGTTTCATACAAGCTCATTGCTACAAAACTGAAGAAAACTTAAAAGTTCCCGTTTCTTACGTTTCTCCATCGAGTCCATCTTCTCTCTCAATAATTGTAACTGTTTGATTGAAGACAGCATCTTGGAACACATTACCCTATAATGATAAGGTTGTTTTAAAGAAGTATTTAAAACCTCTTTACTTAATGGGCCAAAAGCATGCCAATTGGAATGGATACATTAAAACTTGTAATGAAGAAAGAGTACTTTAAGGAGAAGAAAGGGACTTCATGGAAGAGTTGTACTGTTTAGGCCATAGATAGCACAGACTTCTGGCTTGAGGCCCCAGCTGGGTTGCAAGTTTCAGCCCATGCCTGCAAAAGGCTACTGGCCTCTACCATAAGAAACTAGGGGCACCATTTGTCAGCAATGCTCACACATTTATGCTGTTATGGCACTGTGCCTAAACTCTCACTCTACCCAACCAAAAAACTGCCAAGCCTGAGTTATACAGTATGTTAAGTTTAAAGTATACCCCAAGGAAGAGTCTAGACTTTTCTATAAAAAATAGGCCACTGCTCACTAATCTTTAGTCACTGCAAACCACCACCCCCAAAAAACCGCCCCCAAACAAACCCAACAACCTAATATCTAATGTAAAGTTAAAGGGAAGTTTTCATAACATACTAGCAGTCAAGTACATATCTGGCCAAGCTGCTTTACCTACAGCATTTATTGGCACATACATAAAGGCTTAAACATACAAAAGGAATGCTAAGAAATGGATTGAGCTTCTTGCTTCCAGCCCATGCAGTTCAACTTTAATTGCAAGAAGTAAAATCAATTATGAAATTGAGCTTACGTTCAAATCTCTGTAGTTCAGATTGATAACTAGTCCAAATGGACGGCCACCCATCGGCTCTGCAGGGATGAAAGAGTACTCAAATGTGGCCTGCCTCTGTGGTGGAACCACTGTGTTCAGAGGAAGAGCTGTGAAATTCTGTATGTAAAACTGGTAGTCTTGGGGGTACCGAAAAGATGCATCAAGAGACTCAACAATAAAATCCTCTGTACCCTTATTGGTGAAGCCTACCAGAAACTTCACAATATTGTTTGCTGGGAAATCTGGAAAACAAGTAGCAGTAGGTTAGGAAATTTCATGCAGTACTCCAGTGAAAAGATACCCAAAGATTCCCAGCTTAACTACTCAGTCCTAAGAAAACATCATTAACTTTAGAGCAGCGGGGGCCAACTTTAGGCAGGTGCGCCACAAGCGCCCCAAATGCCACTCCAATCCCCTTCTGAGCCCAGTCTGCTGCTCTTTCATCCCTGATCTGTACTCCCTCCCCGATGTGCTCCCTGCCCAAGCTGCTTCTCTACTTTCTGCCACAGTGCTGCCTGCCTCCCTCCCCGATTTGTTGCAAGCCACATATGCAGAAGCTGCCCGTGTCCCACTTGTAGTATGGATGCTGCAGACTGGCCACCCCTGCTTTAGGTAACCATAATTCTTATGCATTTGTGACATTAAGCTAACGTCTGCCAAGTTAAAAGTTTAATAAATTGTCCCAGGACTCTTACCTTCACCTTTCACAAATAAGATTGTTGTATCAGCACTAGGTGAGGCTTTAGGTTCTCCTGATAAGTCTTCTTCCTCTTTTTCTTCTGTCTAAGACAAAAGACTTTTGTGAAAAGCCTATAGCGAAGCCAGGAATATCCACTTTTAAAAAGAAACATCTATGACAAATGTTAAAACGTACTTTTTCTTTTGTCCACTGATCTGAGATAGGATACCGTTGCATTGACCAACTGCTGTTGCAAACACGTTCCAAAGTAGCATTCATTCGTTTCTAACCCTGGACTACTAGCTTCTCCAAGCCCATTAACTGCAGCTGAGAGTCAACTACAGCCTGAGCTTATTTTATAGTTTTTAAGTTACTCAAACATTGGAGGTTAGTTTTTCTTGCCTGCTTGGGGTTTTTAAAGTGCAGAGCGTTTGATTCAGGTAAGCCATGATAGCTGTTTTGTCCCTCAGCATCCAGTTAGTAATTTATAATGAACTGAAAGTGAGAAGCAAGGCATCTTTCTTGTAAACAAAGGTCTGCACCAAAAACGTTGACAAGATCTAGGTAATGCACAATTAGATTTAAGCAATAGAGACTCAGCAAACTCTGCATGCAAAATCTATGTATCCTCCAGTTCTTTACTGTGACTCAACACCTAAAGCAGTGTCCTGTTTTATCATTTAACAATTTATTTTTATCATTACAAATTAAGGTCACTATCTCAAATAAGGTCTTGAGAAATTAACACTTTCAGTTCTCTTTAAAAATAACAAGGCTTCTGATCACCAAATTTTTCCTCTATTACATCTTTACTACTTAAAAAAAATCCCATGCACAAAGTAATCAACTAACGTTAATCGCTTAGAAAAAGGAAATAATTTCTTAAAATACAACAGCTAATCATTAAAAAAAAAATGTTTAAATAATTTAATTTTTAAAAAAATGATAAACTGCTCCTACTGAACTTTATTCTTGAAGGGCACATCTACATGTGCAATTAATGTGAAGCAATAAACTCTGGGGTTTATTGCTCCTAGGCAAGCCGTTTCAACATGTCAGGGAGCAGTAAACAGAGTTAAATGCCACTTGCACGTGTGCCTGGGGTTGCAGCACACTGAGCTGGGTCAGAGCATCCCTGGCTGGCAGGGGGCCCTGGGAGTCAACACACCAGCCTGGGGCTTCTCCCCCCAGCTCAATGAGCTGTGGAAAGAATGGCTGGGGCATGAGTTTGCTTCAGTGCGGGGGCTAGCTAGTAGGCAGCCCCCACACAGAAGCACCCTCATTCCCCAGCCAAATAGTGCAACATCTACACAAGCGCCACTGCAGAGTTTTTTATGCTGTAGCAAGATAGTACTAGTATTTACAAGTACTATCCTGCTGTAGAGTAAATTAGTTTACTCGAGCCTAATAGGGGTACACGTGTAGATGCCGAGATGTTTACTGCACAGCTAATTAGTCTACTGTGCAGTAAACACCCTGCGTAGATTCACCCAAAGTGTCTCACTTTCCTTCTCATGTCAGCACACAGATTACTGATCCCTCCAAATAAGATGGCCTGATGTGAAATAAAGAATCTGGTATCTTGGTAACATCTGGCTCATGAATTACTTGCCTTGGAACTCTTTAAATGCCATTATAAAAAGTTATCACTAATGCCACTGTCTTTGAGGTGACGTATATCGCTTTGCAAAACTGTCCCCTACTAGTGAAGTTAAAGATATAGTAAATGTGTTGAGAGATGCTGTTACTCACATTTATATTAAAAAGAGTACTATGAAGCAAATACTATCAAGTTTGTATACAACAGTTAGCTTTATTTAAACTTATGTTCTAAACTTTAGCCCTGGGAAGAATACTGCCAACTCAATTGCCAAACTGCACATTTCAAGAACACGGAATGAAATACTCAGTTCTATTATTTTCATATTTTTTACGTATGAATTTACTATTAGGGATAGCCAACTAGAAAATGTTCATTGAAGGTATCTGATAAACTCAATCAGTATTAAGATACTTGTGGAATGATATCAAACCAACTCAAAAAGCTAGTAAAATACAATAGCCAAGTGTCACATGAATTTGATGAATACCTATATAATCCTTTTACTGGATCAGCTAAAAAAAAAAAAAAATAAAACCCCCAAACAAACTAGTACGCCTTTGCTTTTTAATATCGGAACTTTTTCTTTGTCTATTATTCGCTGTTTTACAATAAATCTTCCCACCCCAAGTGATCTTCAGAATCAATATCAGATATTAGTCTCTATCACGCGTGTTAGGCGACTATTTCAGAATAGTAAAATTTTGACCTATGGTTTCTAGTTAAATTTGCCACAAAAAAAGAAACAGAACATAAATATTGTTAAGTGAAATAAAACTGATCAATATAACCAAGAGAAGTATAATATGCCTTAGAACAACACTACTATAGAGCTTAGATAAGAAACTTCAGAGACTGAACAAAAAAACCTTGCACTGAAAAAAAAAAAAAATGCCATCACTTGGAAGAACAATGTTTATGGAAAAAAAAGAAGAACGAGAGCAGGAACTGATGTCTGGGTGGATCAAGCACTGAACTACACAGGTTTGGAAACACAAACCAAAAAAAAGAATACAGTGAAATCTTTTCAAGTTGCTGTTTCAGCATGGGAGTACTGGTTGTGCTCATCTAGATGCTCCACTTGTATCTATTCTAGTTAACCAAGTTCTGTGGTGCCTGATCATGTTTCTATTTGGCTACGTCAAAGAAATTAAATAATCAACATTTGAATGCGAGATTTCTAATCCGTTTAAATTGAAGGTGTTGTTTGTAAAGTAAGAACAATGAGCATTTACCAAATCTGTCGGCTCATCTTCTTCAACTTCAGCTTCATCATCTTCATCTTCAACTACAGTATCTTCCACTGCTTCTTCATCCTCTGTAGCATCTTGAGCTGCCACTAGCAAGCTTGAACCTAGTAACAAGATGATGATGATATCATCATCATCATCATCATCAAGAAGAATAAAAACTACATGACTTCCCAATTTCCAGTTAGCTAGTCAGACTAATGGAAACTTGGAAAGCTAAAGTACGATGTCAAATTTAGCAGCAGGAGGGAAGCAAATAAAGCTTCACTTTTGAATTCTATACAAATAGGTTCCGGTCAATTTCTACCATGAGTAATTTTAAAAAACTACTGGATTTACATATAAAGGATCTCAAGGTAAATTAAAAAGTGAGTTAAAAACCCACTTTGGCATACATTATTGCAAGTTTTTTTTCTCTCTCTCTTTCAATAAAACATTCAGTAAATCATCAACTTACTTCATCCAGCAGGAAATTAAGAGGAAAAAAGAAAAGAAAGAAAATCAGATGCCAACTGATTTTGTGACCTTTCAGAAATGGGTAAAACTGATACTGATATTGGTTGATTAGTCTCTAATGCTAATTATTCAGACTGCTTTTATTTAAGTCCAAGAAACTGGACTCTACTGACAGATCACTAAACCAAAATCAATGTCCCACCCTTTGTGTATATTTTACTAAACTAACTGTGAATGCATCAGTGTTCTTTGCTGTTTGTTACATTGCAGTGTACTAGCCCAGAATGAGAAGAACACTGAACTGAGAACTAAGTAGAACAATCTAGTAAAACATCCTGGTTTATAGATCAGTTTATACTTTTCCAAGCCTACAATTTAGTCAAAGTAAGAAAGTTCACTTTGCTTGATGTGCTGAAATGAGGAGAGTGCTACAATATGGTTATAATTATGCACACTTGAAAGATACACAGCTAATTACAAAAGTCAAGTCCTATCTTGCTATTATTTCCATCCTCGGACTGAAGTTCTTCTCCCATCACAAATTAATGTCAATAACTAATTCACATCAACTAATTTAACTGGAAAATATAATTGGGTTTAACACACTTGTGTATGGGAATACTTACTAAATTAGTTCATGTTTTCATTTGCAAATAAACCTCGACACAAAAAGGTTGAATGAAATTGAAGAAGTACAACCTGTGCACCAGTCTTCCATTGCAATTCATGCAGTCCTACAGAATACTGCAGAGTACATGTGTATGAAGTTGAAGAATGAAGCAAGAATTGGGCCAGTTATGGGTCCAAAAACTTGACAGTGTTATTTACTGGAGAGTATAGCTTTAATATTAAAATCACAATGTAAACAAATCCCAGCACATGACCTAGTTCTGTAACAAAGACTGAGTTCTTCATATTTAATTTAGGTAGAGCTGCATCCTACATATATACCAAGCTACATGCTGAAAGGTCCAGTCTTAAGCACTATGTGACCTGAAATGCACCACGTCAGCTTTTTTCTGTTGGTACATTTAGTGTGGCCATCACTGAAAGGTTTTAGAAGAGGTCTATTTCTCTCCTTCCTTCATGTACTCTGAATGTAGCCAGTTTCACGATCTCCCCAGTGCTTCCAAATCTTGATTAGAAGCAATGCACCGCCTCAGTACAGATAAAACTGATTTTCCCTTGTATGCAACAAAGGAAATATTTAAGAGATAGGATGAGACTGCAAACCCACAAAAACAGTTTCAGGTATTTTCCTGCCTATTTCATACAGCTGATTAGTTTCAAATGGACTGTGACCCTGTCATTTTAATTCCTGTTTTTTTCCTTTTATATGAGAGTAATGGAGTTGGCAAAAGCACAAGACAGAATTCTGAGGAACCTGCAAACAAGGTACCAGGTGTACAGGGAGAAGAGAGTACACATTCCCTGAAAAGACTAGGGCACGATATAAGTTTAGCAAGGCTCTAAAGCAGTTCTCAGTCAGAGAGCGCCAACTGTTCCATGAGTGCAAGAAAACAGAGACTCTAAAGCAGTGATTCTCAACCAGATGCCCCAACACCCTGGGGTGCTATGATTCCCTCTGCCTTCCCTCCCCTAGCAAAATAAACCCAGAAATTTCAAATTGGAATCTATTTTGTCCCGAGACTAATGAGGTTGGGAATCACATGTCTAAAGGAGGTTGTCAGATGTCGGGGCCTCTGGTCTGATCTGGCACACAGGTCAATCATCTGGCCTACAGCCTTTTTTTTTTTTTTTTTGGGGGGGGGGGGGGGGAGGGAGAGGAGGGAACATGACTTCTTGCGGCAGCAGTGTCTGGGCAAGACCTAGCAGTACCACAGCCCCAGCAGCACCGCAAGAAGCCCAGCATCACTGGTGCCTGGATGCCACTGTGGGAACAAACCACAGTTGCTGGCCTTTCTGCAGCACTGCTCAGGCTCCAGCTCCAGCTCTTACCAGCCTGGCTACCAAGCCCCGGTGCTAAAGCAGTAGCACTGGAGCCCCAGCAGCGCGTGGGAAGAGGCCTGGCACCACTTGTTTCTGAGACTACAGCCCAGTGCCCATGATACCAGGCATCTCCCTCCAGGGCCCAGAATAGCCAGCCTGAAACAGGGAGGTTTCACAGGCCCAATCTGTCCCATGGGGCTGGCTACCATGAGCCATCCACCTGGTCCTGCACCACTATCCCAGCCCCTAGGGCCAGACGTGTTTGACACCCCCAGCACACAGGTAATCTTTTCAAAGCAATGGAAGCCCTCAAAGAGCTTTTAGCACCACTGAAGGGCAAGGCAATCATTCTGATCTACAAAGCAAAAAGGAAACGACTGGGCTTTCTACAAAGGAGAAGTGGCTCAGGAAACATTAGCTCTTCTGGGTTAAGCAGAAGGCAGGTTTGAGCAGTCTCACTTCATCTGCCACCAGAGCTTCCAGAACGTTACAAGCTCCCAAAATCCTGGGTTTGAATCCACAACCCTGACCACAGCAAGCTGCTGGCAGCTCTCAAACCTCGCACATGCTTCCTGAGCTGCAGCACTACCATGCTGCTCAGCCGTCTAATCTCATCCCCACTCCTTCAGTGGGTTTTGGGAGGAACGATGATGTGGCAACGGGAGGCCGGGGGGGGGAGAGGGACTCTCTCTGGTGGGAAGGCAGCGCATGTGCTACAGGCCGATCAGCGCGCGCGCCAGGTTACACAGGGCTGTCCTTCAAACCGCCTGCACTTTGCTTTACTGAGGGCAGAAATCAGATGAAGTGACGATGCCGGAGACTGGGCCTCTCCTCCTCCTCGCTAAGAGAGGAGACTAGGCTGGCTGCCTTTACGGATTTTTTGAAGCAGAGCATCGATTTGTCTCGTGTCCGAAAAAAAAAAAAATTAAAAAAAAAGAGTACGGGGTGGAGGGTTGTTGGTCTAAGGACACAAGCAGACACGGTTCTTTGGGTAGACGGGATATCTTTTATTACACCAACTAAACAGCTGGAAAAATTGTTCTGTGCGAGCTTTGGGGCACAGAGGCACACAGACACCCCGAGAGGAGCTCTGCTGCCCGGGCTTCTCTCCCGTCTCCCAGCCACCCCCACCCCTGGCCGTCAGCGGGGCAAAGATCCCCGCCGCCCCCCGGAGCGGCCCACGCGGAGGTGGGGAATGAATGGGGGGCGGGGCAGGACACGTCCGCCCGAGGCCGGGGCCAGATCATCGCCCCCAGGCAACCGGGAAGCCCCGCCCCTCCCCGGGCCCCGCGCGGCGGTTGGCGGTGCCGCGTTCCAACACCAACGGCAGTGGGTCCCGTCCTGACCCGTCCCTCCCCGGGGCGCCGCGCGCTCTCACCTGAGCCGCGGGCGCCGCCGAGCAGGAGGGCGGCAGGGAAGGCCAGGAGCACGAGCAGCAGCAGGCGGGATAAGAGCCTCATGGCGGCAGCTGTGGGGCGCCCTCGGCGGCTGGCGGCGCTGTACGAATGGCGAACGCCTCCATCCGGGCACAGGCCACCCCTCCGTGTCACGCCCCGCCCCTGTCGCCCGCCGCAGAGGACGTGGCTCCGCCGGGGAGGAGGATGGGGTGTCACGTGACTTAAACCCGCGTACGCCTTCCTCTGGGCCTGACTGCACATGCGCCAGGTTCCCTCCCTCCCCCCCTCCCGCGCATGGGCAGATCTCAGTCGGGGTAAAGACCGCGTCTGCCAGGGCAGCTCTGCGCATGCGCAATGCGTCCCCTTTCGGAGCTTCATGCGCATGTGCGTGGGGCCAGGTCTGTAGTACGTAAGTGCGTGCCTTTTCGGTGGTATTGTGTTCCCGCTCTTGCGGGGAGGGGGGTAGCGTTGCTAGGTTTTAAATATGAAATGATACTATTGGAAGCTCAAAATGATCGTATTTGCTGAAAATGTTGTATGCTGAAACAAAAACCGATGGACATGAGTATGTAAATGTGCCTTCTTTACTTTCTATTACTCACTGACTCTAGAGTGAGTGAGTGAGAAGTGGGCCATCAGTTGAAGCGTTTCTTTATTTGTAGGCAAGCTGTTGTGAAAAAGTGCTGATAGCAAACCTAGAAGTGGGTTAAGACTCCCTCAGAGTTGGGTTTGCATATGCTGTGTCAATTAGCTGCCTCAAAAGTTATTGTATGTTTTGAACGCTTTTATTGTTATCTATCGTGCAGGGGTTGAAACAATTGCACAAATACGAAGATTATCATAGACCTGGCAGCGCTGGCACTGATGCAGCTTGACACCTCAGCCTGCATGGGAGCCCTTAGGGATAAGCCTCCTGGGCTGCTATTCAGTGCTTTTGTTTTTTCTATAAGGTGTGAATCTACCCTGCCTTGTACTTAACTTCATCCCAACATGTGTAACTTAAGTTTCTGGGAGCTGGCCTGAAGAACGCCACCATGACAGCCAGCTGCATTTTGGCTGGTCAGGCTGCCAAAAGGAAAGGCCACCCCCCCACCCCCCAGGTGTTATGCGGGATGTTAAGTTACTCAATTATCACCTGATTTTTTTCAGTACAACTCGTGTTGTAGTAGTTCAGCAGTTATTGCAGCTGCCCGGGCTATCTGCAAAGCAACCCTGCGATCTCAATGGGACGCCCAAGCTGTGTCCAAGTGATCTCATGCAGTGTGACTGTTCTGCTCAGCCTTACGAAGGAGCTCTGTAGCAAAGGCAGGGTAAGAATCTGATTCCCCAGGTCCTGAAAATGAGGATGACGCTGGTCCTACTTCTGTTTCTGTAAAATCTGCTTTGGTCACTATAAACCTTAAGTAGGAGTGTCATCTGTATGGCCCATGGGCTAGATCCAGCCAGCGGAGCTGTGTGATCTAGCTTGTGGGTCTCAGACTGACCCTTAATGCTAGTCTGGTGCATGGTTTGGAACCAGCACAAAAGTGCTGCATGCAGTCCAGGGGGGGTGGCCCAGGGTGTGTGCTGTGCCCTGGTGGACTTGTTCTAGAGCATGCCCTGTGCTGGCCACCTGGGCTGTGGGCAGTGCATAAAGCTAGTTAAAACCCTCACACCACCTGTAGCATGTGCTAGCCATACTGCAGGCAACACATGGGGCCAGCACAGGCCAGCCACATGATCTTGCTCTGCATGCAGTGCACACCCCATGTAGCTCCACCCCTGGTTCCAGCCCACACTCCCCCAAACAGAGTCAGCACATGCTGTGCATGGCACGGGGGTGGATGTGAGGAGAGTTCTGCATGCAGCACTTCCACCAGCCAGCCCTGTGCGTTGGCTCTGGTGACGCCAGACCAGTCCTCGGTCCAGCCCAGCAAGGCTCACAGGGTTGGATGAGTTTGACACCCCTGCCTTACAGCATCTGTGACAAATGAGGCAGGGGTCCTACAGACAATAGTACCATTTGCTATAGACCCATGGTTCATTTCCAAAGCAGGCAGTTATGCCTTGATTGAGATAGTCACACACAAAAATTTTCCACAGGGCCACTATGTCATTAAAGAAGATATCATTATGCTCAAGTCATGACTGACTTGCTTGACGTTAAAATTGCTTGTGACATGTCTTCATTTAACTAAGGCTTTTGGTACAGTCTCCCACAACATCTTTGTAGGCAAGCTAAGGAAGTATGGGCTGGATGAATGGACTGTAAGGTGGATAGAAAACTGGCTGGAGCATTGGGTTTGAGGATAGCAATCAATGGCTCAATGTCTAGTTGGCAGTCAGTATCAAGTGGAGTGCCCCGGGGCATGAACGCCATGTGCCACCAGAGGCTGGGAGGGGCATGGCGACTGTCCGCAGGCGGCAGTGTTGGCAGCAGGGACGTGGTGGTGGCGAGCAGGGAGCCCTCGCAGGCAGCCATGGCAGGGGCAGGCGGAGCAAGGAAGTGTCAGCAGCGTGGGGGGATGGCAAGCGCTGACCGGTGGTTGGTGACCACCCAGAGATGCCATTGGTGGTGGCCAGTGGCAATCGAGAACCACTTGCAAACGCTGCCGGTGGTATCAGCAGCGAGGTGGGGGAGTGGCAAGTGGTGACTGTCAGCAGTGGTGATGGCGCTTTTCGCAGGGGATGTACTGCCAATTTCAGTGGGTACATGTACACCCGCATGCACTCACTACGTGTTACCAATGCCCCAGGGATCAGTCCTTGGGCCAATTTTATTTAATGTCTTCATCAATGACCTAGAAGATGGTATAGAGTGCACCCTCAAAAAGTTTTCAGATGATACCAAGCTGTGGGGGGGGGGAAGTAGTAGATACGTTGGAGGGTAGGGCTAGGATTCAGAGTGACCTAGACAAATTGGAGGATTGGGCAAAAAGAAATCTGATGAGGTTCAACAACGACAAGTGCGAAGTGGGAACAATCCCGTGCGCTAGTGCAGGCTGGGGGCTGACTGGCTAAACAGTAGCTCTGCAGAAAAGGACCTGGGGGTTACCGTGGACAATAAGCTGAATATGAGTCAGCAGTGTGCCATTGTTGCAAAGAAGGCTAACAGCATACTGGGCTGCATTGGTAGGTGTGTTGCCAGCAGATCCAGGGAAATGATTTTTCCCTTATATTTAGCACTGGTGAGGCTACCTCTGGAGTACAGTGTTCAGTTTTGGGCTCCTCATTACAGAAAGGATGAAGACAAATTGGAGTCCAATGGAGGACAACTAAAACGGTGAGGAGCCTGGGGCATATGCATTGGCGATGCATAGGGGGTGCACGCGGGTGCACGTGCACCTCCTGAGATTTGGGGCTTGAAGCGGGTTTGAAAGAAGATGAAGCTAGACTGTTCTCAGTGGCAGCAGATGACAGAACAAGAAGCAACAGTCTCAAGTTGCAGTAAGGGAAGTTTAAGTTAGATATTAAGAAGAATTAGTAAAGCACTGAAACAGGTTGCCTAGAGAGCTGGTGGAATCTCCATCCTTGGAGGTTTTTAAGACCCGGTTAAACAAAGCTTTGGCTGGGAAGATTTAGTTGAGGCTGGTCCTGCTTTGAGCAGGGGGTAGGACTAGATGTGATCTCCTGAGGTCCCTTGCAACCCCAAGTTTCTAGGTGTGCGGGCCGGGAGCGACCCGAGCCCTTTTCCGCGCTGCATGCGGGCTGTGGCCAGCAGCCCGGGCACGCCGGGTCGGAGACGGAAGGCTGTCGAGCTGGAATTAGGCACAGACACGTATCGGTAGTTTTAAAGATTGTTTACTTACACCGAGATGGCAGTGGTGTAGGCTGGAAAACTTGATTGAGTTGCAGTTACAGACAGACAACACAGACGGTCTCATGGAGGTTGCTAGGCTCCACAGTACAGAGCTCCGGATGCTGTGGGGGAGGGAGCCACCAAAATGAGAATCGTAGATACGTCTTATAAAAGTCGCGCTCGAAGACGGGAAGAGGTGGGCGGTGGATCAGGCCGCCAAGCTCCTCTGGATCTCACACAGGGTTTCTGTTACCCTGCTGTATACCCAGAGTCCCCACGAGATGGATGTGGAGTCCTCTTCGGCTTGGGCGGAAACCGCTCAAGCCTCTTATACGGCTAACAGGCCAATTGCTAGCCGCCACGTGTGAATAATTTAACACTAGCCAATCACGGGGAACGAATTTGCATACCGGTGGCGGGAACTCTTTTGCACCGTGCATTCCTCTTGCAACATGAGCAATGCACTCTGCAAAAGAAGCTGCAGAAAAGGTGGGAAACTCGTCCCTGCACCGGGGTTTTCCTCTGCAACAGGAAACACTCCCGTGCAATGCTCTGCAACTTGGTGGGGATAATTCTGGTGCTGAAGCGCACACAAAATCATGGCTTTGGATCATGACACTAGGATTCTATGCCAGCTCCTTTGTATACCCTGCAGTGTTTTGTATGTTCCCACATGAGAACTGAAGCTTATTTTTAAATAATTTCCCTCATCTCAGCTAGGCCATGTACAGGATTAAGTGCCTATGCTGGTTTACCCCCACAAATAGCACCAATGGCATGCCAGTGGCCAGGGCCTAATGAATCAAAGTTATGGGAGCTTCTTATTGTTAATTGAAATGTAAGAAATTCAATTAGGCTGAACGTAGGAATAGCTTTCCACAATGCAGTAGGCCAGGGGTATCAAACATATGGCCCATGGGCTGAGTCCAGCTCATGGAGCTGCTGTATCTGGCCCACCAGCCTAGTAACTGGTCACTATAAGTTGTGAGGCAAATGTAGCTAGGGGTGACAAGCCTTCCGCAGAATCCAGGGCTCTTGAGCCCCAATGGACGTTGCAATCAGTGGCAGAAGGGTGAATGAACTCTGACACAGCCCTGGTTGCCTTCTGGCTGCTTCACCCATCATCATTGCCATGGCCCCAGCTCCAGTTCCTCAGCCTCATTGCCACGTGTTTCACAATGGAGATAGTGCTACATGCCCTGTGCTCCATGCTGGAGCCACCACCATTGCTACCACTGCCACTGTGCCATACTGGAGCTGCAGCCCTTACATGAAACACGTGCCAACAGCAGCAGCTCCAGTATGGAGCGTATAGCACATGACTGTAGCTGGAGCCACTGCCACTGTTGCCAGAGCCACCCCATGTCCTGGGCTGGATCTGGCCCTTGAGCAGCCCT